CATCAAAAAATCTCAAAGAAAGTATCAAATCCCAATATTCGCGCGTTATTTGTGTAAGAGCAATCGTGTTTACTATTTGTTCCAAAAAGGTGGGATTTAACAATAAATTGAAATGAGTTGAACAAATAAACAAAATAAACTTACCAGAGCATTGAACAAATACTCCTAACGTAGTTACGTATCTTTGTATTAATGTTGGATCCTTCATAAAATTACCAAGATCACTAAAAAATTTGTCATGTAGAAATTAATTTATATACATCTTTTTTTTTTTAAAAAAAAAAAAGCCCACCCTCTCTAACCTATCACGTGTCAAATTCCAAAATCCAGCCGTTAACGGGAAAAAGAAAGTCTTTGCCGCCAATTCATTAAACCTATTAACAGAAGTTGTACGAGTCGATTCAACCAACGGTTTACGAGAAAATCTGCGAACTTTATCATTACTTGTTTCTTTTAAACTTCTTATGGTAGTGAGATCTAATTTACTAATTTCTTGGGATAATGTATCTATTATAGCGGTTTCCTTTTCCTTTTTATCTTCAATGCTCTTAAGTAGAATATGAACGTGTTAATACATAATGCTTCCAGTATAGTATATATTATATGGCAAAAATTAATAGTTAAACCTCGTCTACCTGTAATCCAGCCAATTCTCTTGCACCTGTTGATAATGTTGATAAAATCATATATCTTTCCGCAAGTGAATATTTTTTTTCGAAAAATTGTTGAATAATAAATCTGTAAATTAAAAATTAATTTAGTAAAATTGATGAACAAATGAATTTCACGTTAAACTAACTTACGGTACGGCAATTTTAGGACTTCCACATATAAGAGCTATCATTGCTGCGTGTCTGTTTTCTTCAAATCCTGTCAATTCAAAGTTATCTTGTAATCCAATAAGAATCTTGGCTAGTTCCGTGGCATGGTCATCTTTTTTTTTTTTTTTTAAAAAAAAAATCATTTATATTTATAAAAATAACGTAAAAATATCTAAATAAATACCAACCTAATTCTGTTCCAAAGCCGGTTTTCTGCCTAATTAGGTTTTTTGCAGCATTCATCGCTAACTCCAACTTATCAGGATCGTCTGAAGCTTTTAGATACGTTAATAAATCTATAATATAACTATGTAAATTTAAATTAGATATAATTAACTTCCAAAAAAAAAAGATATACAAAGTTTATAAGAGGAAATAAATACACTGGCGTGAGTATTCTTTTCTTTTTTGTTTGTGGTATAGATTCATCTTCTTCATCATCATCGTCACTTTCTTTTTCCATTGGATAAGGCACAAAATCGTCTTCATCATCAGAATCTACAACGCGCGTTTCATTATCATCTTTAACATCCTCTGTTTTATAATATAAGATATTTGCTAATTGTTATAATCGTTCGCATGAAGCAATTATTATGAAATAAATAATAATAAAAAATTATTTAACTGATTTCGATCAAGTCTTCATTATTGACATTATCTTCATGATTAGAATATTCTTCCGAAATCTGCTCTCCATTCAGATCGGCTTTATCAAGAAAAATTTGCGATTATTATATTACATTTCAAAATAGTTATAAAATTATTTATAAATATATACATAATAAATACCTTCAACCTTATCTTCGTAATCAAAATCAGGCAAGTCTACAATTCCATCCTTAAGTTCCACCAATTGTCTAAAATATTTCACGTCATCGTCTTCAGGATTTAGCTCAAAGTCCAAAACGTTTTCTAATACGTCAGTTAATTTTGAGAATATTTCCGCAGTAACCTATTGAACCATTTCACAAATATTAAAAAGCAGCTAATTAGAAAGCGTGTAAATCTTCAATAGAATACCCATAATTCAAGAATAAATCTTATTCAACCATTCCCATCTTTCTCGCTTCTTCAGATGTGCTCTGTAGCCATCGAGTGATTCCAGGTGTGATATCCCTCAAAATTGCAGCTTTTATCAAAGTAGACTTTGGAAGATATCCAAATATTATTAGAATGGCACTAGTAATATCTGTAAAGGCTTAAGCATTTTGAATCTAACTAGAAATTAATATTTCTTAAATAAATGTTTTACATACACATTTGCACGGAACTCGATGCATGCTTAATGAACGTAGGATCAGACCAGGATGATATGAGCGTTTTAAGTAATAGCGTCAAGTCTATTTTTAAAGATAATATAGTCCGGAGGTAAAATTTTAATTATTTTCAAATGTAATATGTAGAATTAATTTATGAAACAAATACCATCATTAAGCCCTAATCTAAGGTTATCTATTTGACCGGTAAACGTTTTCATCATATCATCGGGTCGATCTTGAAATCCACCCCAACTCAAGAAACAACAAAGAACTCGGACAATGCTGATAGGAAAAATTTTTCCTCCAACGAAATATTTGAATTTGATTAAGTAAGAAACAAATTCGTTATTATCTTTCCCGATTAATAAACTTAGTAGTGTAGCAACTTTGCGTACTAGGTAATGTGATTTATCTTCAGTGGATACAGGATTTGTGATCTTTGAAAGATCTTGACTTTGAGAGTGAAGAAGAAATGCTGTAAGAAATGACTCAGCAACATGTGATGAGAATGATGAAATCATGGTTTTCCAAATCTTGTAATATATGTAAGATGTAGAATGATGAAATCTAATTAATAGACTTTTATATACTGTTTGCGCTAGGATTTCTGTGTTCGGTTTGTAGATAATATAAAATGGTACTTTGTAAGTAACTGTAATTTTTATTTATCTATTTTTTTTTTTTTTTTAAAAAAATAACATCAAATTATTAAAATTGATCCAAATAACATTAACGCACTTGAATGTCCAATTCTACATATTTTGGAAAATAATTCATTACATGCGAATACCAGAGTTTGAATCTCATCCTCTAAGAATTCAAATTTCCATAAGATTAGCAGGGAAATTTAAGAGTATATACAATTTTTCAATGATGAGTTATGTAATATACATGCCTTTCAAATCATTTTTTTCACTATTACTATAAAGAAGATATTCACCATCAACTGTAAATTTATCAAATAGCTTTCTGAAAGTTATTTTGAATGTCATAAACACATTAAAGATAATAAAATACGATAATTCAACATTATTTTATTTAAAATATTTTTATTTTGTTCAAATAAAATTGAATATAATAACAATTATACAAAATCTTGAAAATATCCAACAGGATACGCTTCGCTCAAGAAACTACTTTCTTCTCTGGATCCTAAATTTTGATTAAAAGCCATCAAATTCGCGGATCTTTCAGGTATTGAACAAATTAATCCAACAAATTCTTTCCATTCCGAATATCTTTCTCTTATATCGACTTCTTCATTCTTTAAAATCGCATCAAAAAAATCTTGAATAGAATAGCTTTTCAAAAGTGAAAATACGAATTTTTGAATTATAGTTGGTAAATACGTTTGATGTTTTTGATATATCTTCAAATCATTCTGTGATTGATAAGAAGTAGAAAAATAAGATACTAAAACTTGCAGTGAGATGCTTGCTCTTTTTATTTTCTGTAAATTTTTGGTTCCTTTTGGAACAAAATATTCCATTACAAGCATATCTTTTTGTCTTCGTAATAATGTTTCAGACCAATTAATTATGATATTATCTATTATAAATTTTAAATGCTTAGAGTAGAGCTTTGTAATGAAATATTTTTGAGATTCGGGACTCGTGGCTGGACCATGCCATGAATTTCCATTTTCAAGAAAGTCTAAAGGTTCCTGTAAAAAATCTATAACGGACTCTATCGTACTAGTATTTAAATTGTTTTGAAGAGTTCGTAGATAGTTACGTAAAAGTTTTTCAGTGGAAAAATTGCTTGCTTCCATATGAACTAGAAAAGAAAATATATTCATTTCAGATATAGATAGCAAATCTGACATATATAATGATGTAGATCAACCAGTATGATGATGTAATCGTAATCACGAAAAATTAAATGCCATACGCAATATTTATACGAAGAGAGGCATTACTATCTTTATCTATTAGAATTACTATAAGTGAAAATTCGAAAGAATTAATCGATTAGGTATTTATTACGTGGAGTATAAAATCAACCTAATACGGGGGAGTATCTCGATTCTTAATATTCGAAGAATCTAATTCAAAAAGACGGAATGGTTTATTATGATTTTCTAAAATAATCGATCATAACATAATCACTGTATTCGCAAAAAATCGACCTTTGCAATAGATAATGGAGAAACCGGGAACAAAAAATGAATTAATGCTAAAGCTACACATATCTCGAAAATCATATTTGGCATATAAAAGTAAATTTGATTTATCTGGCCCTTCTAATTGCAAAGGCATATATATACAGTACCTGCCGATTATAATTTTCTTTTTATTAAATCACATTTGGTGTAATAAGTAAAAGTTGTGCGACATATATTTATAATTAAACATAAAGATTTCTTGTTCTATTAATAAATATATTTCTTCAATTTTCAGACTAATTACATTTATTCTTGTAGAGAATATACTATTTATATGATTAAAATATTAAATTTATAAATTAAAGTATTATCACAATTTAAAAATTTAAATATTTCACATAACTTCACTGTATCAAATTTACAAGCTTAATTAATAAAAAAAAAAAATAGATTGCATTTATAAAATACAATGTTTTATTATAACTAAAATCTTATATTAATACATAAATATTATTTTATTAGACAAAAATTATATTTAGCTTATAAAATAAAAATTTTTTGTTGATAGTTTTCTTTCTTTTATTGCAAAGTATTTATATATATAAAAAGCTATCAATAAAATAAATTTAAATTTGCAATATAAATTAAACTAATTAAAAACTTTGCATTTCATACTTATCAGATAACTATTTGATCATATTAAAATAAATATATAAGATTTTCTATTAAATTAATAAAGAAAAATAATATTTTTAAGTTATTTAGAATTTTTAATGAATTAAATTAAATTAAATTAAATTCAAGATATTAATTTTAAAGAATTTTTATTAATTTAAAATGTATTTAAATAAAATTTTATAATTATATAAGTTAAAATATGAATTTGTACAAAGTTTTATAGCAGCATTAAATATCTTTTTTTAATGAATCAAAACTATTGTAATACTAGAAATATATTATATAAATAATTGTATAATTAGCTAATTTTAGACATTGATGCCTTTGAATTTAAGTCACATTTGAAAATTTGACATAAATCTTGAATTGCACTTTTTAAAGGATATCGAACGTGAAGGAAGAAACATTTAAATTCATCTAAATAGTCACAATAAGCCTTCGCCTATTACATAATTTCGTTAATAATATGTGAAACATTCAACAGGAAAGAATTCTTCCTGGTGACATATTTGATAAATTTGAATTTTCTATTTGCAACCGATACTTATATCGAAAATGCATACTGTTTACATCCTACAATTACGAACATAGTTGATAGATTATCATTTTATTATAAATAGCAATAGAACTAATGTATTAAGAATTCCCTATCTTGATTCTATAAAAAAAAACCAGTTAGAGCACTCTTGATTCTGGAGCTGATAACGAACTTGGGAGGTGTTGTTAATGGGACGTCTTGATGAAAACTATCTAGAGTACTAGATCTTGAATATGAACTCAAGCTTGCTATTGAAGATTGAGACAATTTTGTCTCAAAAATGTTTCCAACTTCTCTAACACTATTTATTTAATTCATGATTTAGACTAAATAATTAATCACAAATTAACTAACATTATTACCTTATAAATCTATATACATGAAACTCGAAATATTTTGTAAATGTCAAGTCAAAAGTAATGTAATTACTACTTTTGACCTTTTTAATATCTCAGACTGCCGAGAAAGAGTACTAAAGCACCTTCTTTTTTTTAGTTAATCGGAAAAAAAAAGAGATCGAAAGAATCGGAAATCTATTAGTTGTATGATATTTATAATAAGTTGCGTTTTGATCCGGGGGGACCTAAATTATGCGTTAAATTGCGATGATTTTTTATAAATTTGTTAAAATATGCGGATTTTTATAAAAATTCATTTCAGGGCTAATACATTATTTTAATATTTCTAAAATAAATTCCTCATTCTGTTGTCTGTTGGTTTTCAAATTTTGAACTTCTTGAAACTTTATATGATATGTGAAAAATGCAAACTTTACTCAAATATGTGAGAGAAAATGTTGAATTTTGCGCCGCAGATTTTTGGCTGGGTCAATATTAACCAAAAAAATTTCGTCATACATCCATAAATTTTGGTCATACAACCACCATCTGTTTTTTAACATAAAAAATTCTTAAGTCCTTCACGAAATTCAAAATAATTGTTTTAGTTAACATGTCAGAACAGGGTAAACGACAGGTGTTACCTACTAATGTTAGGCCGACTCATTACACTTTGACCTTGACTCCAGACTTGGTCAATTTCACTTTTATCGGTTCCGAAGTTGTCAAGTGAGTGACCACGTATTATTTAAGGGTAGATAACTTTGTTGGAAACGACGCGTAGTTTATTCATATCCATTATTATTATTTTTTTTTTTTAATTTTGTATTAGCATTAATGTCAATGAAAATACCAAATTTATAACTCTTCACGCTAAAGAGATTGAAATAAAATCCGCCAAACTTGTAAATTTGAATCAAAAAACCAATCAAAGGTATTAAAGTTGTTTTATAAAATTCATTATTCACGATTATATATTAACGATTTGGTTGGACGATTAGTTGTGAAGCGGCGAAGATTGGTTATAATGCTCAAGAAGAAACAGTTACTTTAACTTTTCCGCAAGAGTTTCCTTCTGGAACCACAGTTTCTCTTTACATTGAGTTCACTGGCATTTTGAATGATAAAATGGTTGGATTTTATAGAAGTTCTTATAAAGATAAAAGCGGAAATACTAAGTATGTTTTAAGTTATATTCATTATGCGCAAATTAGCTGTAACTTCAAAGTTTCATATATGTTTATTTATTTAATATAAAGATATATGGCAACAACTCAATTTGAAGCAACTGAAGCTCGCCGGGCATTTCCTTCATGGGATGAGCCCGCAATTAAAGCTACTTTTGATATCACTTTAAATGTACCCTCTGATATGACTACTTTAAGTAATATGGATGTAGCAAGCGAGACTCAACTTGGTGATGGTAAAAAAGAAGTCAAGTTTAACAGAACGCCGATTATGAGTACTTACGTGTGATATCTTTTTCTTTAATTTATGCTTATTTATCAATATTCTGAGAAGTGAATCTTATACTCATAATTGCTTTACTTAAAAGTTGGTTGCTTTTATTGTTGGCGACTTGGGTTATATTGAAGCACATACAACTGGAGATCACAATGGTAAACCCGTATTGATGAGAGTATATGCGCCTAAAGGTGATGAACAGCATGGTGCATTTGCTTTGAATGTAGCAACACAAGCATTAGAATATTTTGCAGAAGGTTCGAAAAAATTATCTATAATGCGATAAATTTATTGCTAGATTTTATAGTATCTAAAATTTTTAAATTTTAATGGTTTTAGTGTTTGGAATTCCATATCCTTTGCCTAAATGTGACATGGTTGCAGTTCCGGACTTTGAAGCAGGTGGGATATAATCATCCATAATTGATATCTTTGGATGATAATTAATCAATAATAACATCAATAATATAATCAGGTGCTATGGAAAACTGGGGTTTGATCACATATCGTACTATCAGAATCCTTTTCGATCCTAAAGAATCTGATGCCAAATTTAAACAACGTATGGCGTATACTGTGTCTCATGAATTGGCACATCAGGTATTTGAACATCATTTTCGCAATTAAGTTTGTGTTGATTACATGTATTTTCTAATTGGTATTGTTGTAGTGGTTCGGTAACCTCGTAACTATGGAATGGTGACCTTTATAATTTTTTTTTTTCATTTGGTACGATTTTAGATAATCTCTTAAGATCAATCATAATTTTATAGGTGGGATCATCTTTGGCTTAACGAAGGTTTCGCCACATGGGTTGGATATTTAGCAGTTGATAAAATCTTTCCTGATTGGGATATTTGGACTCAGTACGTTTGATATAATATCTTTTATGTTATAATGTTATATTATACATTATATTAAAATTTATTCATAATTAAATAAATAGATTTGTCACTGAAGGATTACAAACCGGTCTTCAACTTGATGCTTTAAGATCGTCTCATCCCATTGAAGTTCCTGTGAATAATACGAGGTAATTTTCACACTTACATTGATTTTATTGTTTATCATTAATAATACTTATCATTTTTGCTTGCTTAAATGTCATGTATTTAGTGAAATACCTCAGATTTTCGATGCAATCAGTTATTACAAGGGTGCTTCTGTAATTCGCATGTTAAGTACTTTCATTGGGGAAAATGTATTTTTATCCGGTATTAGAAGATATTTAAAGCGTCATGAATTCAGTAACGCTAGTACTGATGATTTATGGAAAGCGTTAACAGAAGAGAGTGGCAACGATGTTGGTCAGTTTATGACAGGATGGACAAGAGTGGTTGGAGTAAGTATAGATGAAATAATTTGAATATATTGTCACATTGAGGCAACATTATTTCATAACTATTTTTAATCATTTTAAAGTATCCGGTATTAACTGTTAAAGAACCAGCACCCGATACCTTGGAGATTCGACAATGTCGTTTCCTTTCAACTGGAGTAATTAGTCCTGAAGAGGACACTACCGATTGGTGGGTGCCTCTTGGCATCGACCTTGGGCCTGAAACTCAAAATGATATGAAGTCTTTTGTTCTTACTCAAAAAGAGACAACATTGAAATTGCCACTTAAAACATCCGATTTTTATCAGCT